GGATTGACGTGTTCCTACGTACGTCTTTTTATTTTGGTGGGCGCCAGAAGTTATTTACAAATCGAAGTTACCATGGGGTATAATCGGTCACCGTTTATTGATTAAGGTATTGTATTGTATGCGTTTACCTATGTCCAATCAGAACACACTGAGCTTGCTGAGAGTCTTCAAAATTACACTGCAAATATATTTGGTTCATGAAGGCATGGAGGCAATAATCAAACAAACCATCGTATAGTGCTCGTATTGGAGGGACATCGGCGCGTGTTATAGAGGAGTGAATCTAAAATTAAGTATAACAATCGAAAACTTTCTACCGGTTAAGTGACAGTTTTATGAAGAGAACTGGCTTTAAATACCTTAAAATGTTAGGTTAAGACTGACAAAAAAATGGCATAAAGTGCGAAAGACTGACTATTGGGTGGAGAAGCATGCGACAGCAGGAGACAATGACTAGTCATGGGCTCCTAGCGAAAGCTATTTTCGCAGAAATAATTAAGAGTGCATAATCGAGAGAAAATTCAAGTCGCCAGCAGTGAGACACCTCATATACTAAAAACGATGCACCGTGCCACGAGTTTGACTCTGTTGTTGTTCTGTTCTCCCCCATGACTCTCTCTAGCGGACAACCTTTCAGTATTAATTCGTGTACAGTGCCTCCCTCAGCAAAGGAGTACATGTCTGTCTACAAAGATTTTACTAGGACATTTCTAATAGTAAGTTCTCAAGAAAAGGAGACCTTTGAAAGAGATATTTGCAGAATAAAGGGATTAATTTTTATCTGTGGTTAAATATTTAATTTTTGTAGGTATAGACTCTAGTTTGATGGATGAGTTCGTTTGCCGACTGTGCCAATATTTACAAAGCTCATTAAAGCTCTTGATGTTTGTTTATTTTAAACAACCCTCAGATAGAGTCTACCGCACACTTTTACTGAGTCAAGACAATGCAACGGTCGCTTTATTTCCAAGCCTGTTTTGATAAAGTTCACATAAAAAGCAAGATCTTTAGACTTTGTTTTTTATGGAAAGACGGCAAGGTTTTAAAACTGTCTTTCGTGAACGAGTCTACCAATGTCGGTTATCACCGAGACTTTATTAGCCCAGTATTGACTTACAAATTAAGTCCACTCAAGCTGAGGAGCTCTGAGGTATCGACTGAGCCTCATAAAAGCATGAAATACAAAGAAAATGAAAGGAAAGAGTATAGAAGGTTTCTTGTTTGCTAGTTTGATACATCAGTCGGATATTTTGATGTGTTTCTGATTTCGAAGTGCGTGATATCTTGCTGTGGTTTTTGACTGCTAATTAGCCCATTTACAATTTATTCCATTGAATTCTTACACTATCTTTACGTCATTATAAACAAAAAGCAAACAAACAATCAAATATCTACACCAATTTCTTTAAATTGACTTCTTGTGACAAAGGAAATACAGTATATTGCTCAAGTTGTTCCCAGTTTGGTTTGTACATGGGGTCTCGGTACACGTGAAGAATTCGCGAAGTAACACAGCCGCGGATCACGACGGCTGAACTTTTCATATAACTGACACAAGACGCTGTTTCATTCAAGGCTGTGTCTAATAGAGACATAAATGTTCCTTACCTCCTTACCCTGAATCCCTAATTACTTAGTTAACTTTTCATCTAGAAGAAACGCAAATCCAGTCTAGAAATCACTGAGACAGACTGTGAAAGGCTGATATAGGATTGTCGGTCAAGTCCGAGTGACTTGAAAACCATGACTGGCCATGGTTTCTAGCAGTCATTTGGTCTCTTTATTCATTAAGCCTCAGATTTTAAAGTTATTACTATGCTTATTCGTTTCCTCCGTCAGACCAAGAAAACTGCGCGGGTGAGAAATTTCTTTGCATGTTGGACTGATCGGAACCTCTTCTGTTATATTTTATATATACTGAAGGCGGAATGTCGATAGGCCTGCGTAAATGCTCATCTTATGAACCGGTAAAGATATAAAATGTTCGAGGGATATGCTTACAAGTCGAGCCGCCTGCGGTCGGAGTTTACTGAGTCTACAATAAAATGGCATCGCTCGGCCTAGAAAGTTAAATTTTGCTACATCAAAGGGGTTGGAACGCAGGGGTTGTCATAGTTTTAAGTTAGGGGGCTGGCAGGAATTGAGTTTAAATCTTTATCTGCCAAAGTTGACCAGAGTCAAGTTTAACAAAATTTCTAAATTTCGTCTTGTAAAATGCATAAAAAGAAGTAGGACCATGTGAACGTAATTCCAAAGTGGTTTCATTTTATAGTCACCGTCACTTCAGGATTTTGTCCATAGACTAAAAAGTTAGAAACCCCATTCCAGCTCGAGACATGATCGTTCACTAAAGCAGACAGGAAGTGGGTTCGAAAATCATTCCTTTAATTTCATAGCAGACTGTGTCAAAACTCCTATAAATGGTAACGAAAAAGAACGTCAGAGTTAAAGCTCCTCGTTCTTTTTTCGAACAACAGAATCCTGATAAAACCACCAGGAAGTAGACGGATACGCAACATCATGGCATCATGATACGTAATTTCGGGATATATTGAGTCCTGCGGGAAATTATTTCTATGTATAGTTATTGATATACCTCACATATGGTTAATACTGATTTAAAATAAAGTAATAAAAGCAACTTATTTTTTAAAATAAAACTATAAAGCAGTCAACGACAAAGAGAACTGAGTTGATGGGCATGAAAGAAACGTCAGCTGAAACGTCAACTATGAACCCGCGGACTTAATATCAGAAGAAACCGGCTTGCTTCGTTTCGACGTGAACCATTGGCCCTGAATTTGGCCGGTCGCTGTGAAACGGATCTATGCTTCAGGCGTCATTTTAACCTCGAACTGAGGGCTCTTGTACCGTGCATGCCAGCCATGCTAGGCGACCATGGTATCAAGGTTGTCGACTGAATGCTTTGGAATTCAAAGAAGTGAACACAGCACCCGAGCAGAAAACCCACTCAATGTAAATTAAAACTACATATCAAAAATTTAGTCTTTCCTTTCTTAGTAAACTTTCGTAATAATTCAAATACGGTACCCTCGAATGGGTGGAGTGAGATATAATATCAAATACACGACATACTTTAGAAGCGATATTGTTGACACCGGCGTTTTACATGTGGCCGCTGTTTTCATGCACTGCACATTCCTTTACTAAAAGATATATCTTTCAAGTTCGGACCGTGCATCTTTCATTTTTGAAGTTTTATCATATATTAACGCAACTAGCAAGCTGCATAAAAAAGAAAGTCTTTTTTCCTGGCTTTACAAAATTTCGGTGTGACCTACTTCCTTTAAATTTACAATATACAGAGAAAAACGATATTTCAACACCGGTGTCCATAGTAAGAATATAAAAATTTTCAACTTTAGTCGTGTTGACTGAGAAATTTGGGAAAAAATAATTGGATTTCAGCGATATGAATTTTGTTTTGCCTGCGAACCTGGGCAAAACCAACGGTAGCAGCTAGAATTTTGTTGCAAATCACGTGATCTCCTTGCATTCAATATCACTGCACAGCATATTCTCTGTGTCCTCTTGAAAATTAATAAATATGCTTTTAAAAATACTAATCACATGATTATATTGTAGACTGAACAAACTTAAGTCAAATTCATATACAAAGAAAATTGTATTTGTTTTAAGTCAGAAATTCGATTACGTATCAGTGTTGTAATTAAGAAGGTTGTCTCTCAAGTTTGAAGGCTTAAATCACGTAAAGACTGATATGCATTTAATTTCAAATTATTTCCCTGTCAGTTGTAGGGTGGCAGTATTCAGCTTTATTTTACTTTCCGACCTAAATTTATTCAGGTTGCTTTCAGTTGTCAGTCGAAGACGGTTGGTGTAAATAGATCTCTCCTGTTATTCTTGTCGCATATTCTATTCGATTTCAACAGGAGCTCCTGATTTTAATGCATCTAGCTACTTGGTGAACCATCTGTTAGAGTCAAAAGAAGACAGTTTCACTTGTTACTGAGTTTTTGAGCAGCAAAACCTATCACAGCTTACCGCAGCCTTTTTCACGTTTCTTTACATATGTTTCAAGTACTGACTGTTTAAATATGCTGAGAACGTAATCACTGTAGTAAAAAAGACAACCGGTGAAGCAATATCTGTTAAAAACCTTAAAATCATTGTGAGGGGTGTGATAAATTTCTTCAAGAAGACCAAAAACTGTGGAGGTCATTTCAAAGGCTGTATGATATAAACTTTACAAATGTCTTATTAATTTTCATGTAATTTTCCATACGCTAAGACAGGTCCGTCAGTTAAAAACAAAGCACGCGTTTTATCGCAAGGCGTATCAATAAATTTATGGAGGAAATTCGAAATTTCGCCCAGCCCTTCCAGTTGGTGCTTCGGATATTTAATCATCCGTGATCTTGTAATGTTTTGATCCAGCTTTTCAAAAATGTTAAAAATTAATCTTAGAAGAAATTCAAAGCCAAAGTTCGGGTTTCCAAAACAAACTTCACGGTGACTGATTACGGAGTCTTTCCAATTCATGAATTATTCTAGTTTTCCACCCATGGGTCGCCATGGGTTATTAAGTTTACGAAAATAAAGAGATTCACTTTGCAAAGCGGAAAAAAAGTGACACAAAAATAGTACACAGACCACAGGAAATAAACAAACACTTCGTAGCAGTCGAATCGTAAAATTTCTTTGTATGTGTTATACAAAATATGAACAAATCCGCGTTTCAGCTGTGAAGGAACGAACAAAAAATCCAAGGAAATTTAGAGAAAGAAAAATTAAGAAATTTGATCACAGCTGTAGATCAAATGATGACTCACGCCAATGACGTTAAGCAAATCATGCGTGACATTCCAAGTCCATATTTGGTTGTAGTGGCCTTATATGGTACCCAAGGTCATTTAAAAACAGCCGGCTTTCGCAAATTTCATTCAGATTTGTGAGTGCAGTGTCATTCCGTCGGTTCGAGTATCTTAAAGGGCTTTAACAGGCGTGAAATAGACTATTTTAGCAGCTGAAATCGCTTAAACACTCTCAGTTGAATTTCATTAGTTTTGAAGGTGCTTTTAGAATGGAACTAGCGAAGAAATGTCCGTTTTTGGCCCGCGTTCCTGCGTCGTTCGTTCGCAAAGCGAGGGGACCAGTATTGGTCTCTTACGCCGAGCGATGCCCTGTTATGTCCGAAGTCTTACATAAGGAGAGCGAAACCCCGATGAAAAACGAAGGTAAGCTCTATCATTCTTTTTTTAATGCGTTCTTTCCTTCTTGATCGAAGTGTTCTTTGTTAAGTTGTTATGAACGTGATGTAAAGGATCTAGACCAATAGCTTTGAAATTGACGTCGTCCCGATCACCAACCTACTAGTAATACCATCTGATTTTGTCTCCTTTTTTACACAGGAGCGAAGACCTATGGAGCAACAACTTCTGCCAAAGGTATTTATGCTAAATAGACTTAGTATTACGTTCGACAATATTGAAAATTAAGATCATGTAAACATAAAGTTATATTGTTGCAAAGCCTGTGCTTACATAACTTCAACTAATAAGAGCCTAACTACATTTTACGTAATTAAGCTTAAGTTTAATCCTTTGCTATGGTAGAACGAAAAGTTCCAAAAGCGGTTGAACTCTGCGAAAACTGATTCCTGTAAAGTGACAAATCAAACAACTGTCCTGAATAGTACACATCTCTCGGCTCGCTCATGAGTGTCCGCGTTAGTCCGCTCGCGAACATGCCTGCTTCAGAATTTCAGTCAAACATTAACAGAGTATGATTTAAAATTTAAAATTTTAGATCGCCTCATTATTGTACCCTCTCGAACTACAGCCTCGAAAAAATCAACAGAACTTTTTTTCCAAATTTCTTTTCCTTAGTGTTTTCTTAACATTCGTAAGACTGTCACCCCAAACCGGAATTTCTTGCTCACCTCAATTGACGTATTTCTTTGTTATGCAAAAGTTTTAGTTCTTCCTTTGTTTACTTCAATATTATTGTCGTCAACGCCATTAAGATTCAATTTATTCGTGACAGTTTCTTTTTCTGTTGAGTCATTGCTAACAACTTGTTAACCTTTGGCTTAAATCTCCTGTAGCAGATAATTATGATATTGCCTTTGAGACCAGTAAGCTTTCTCTCTTTTTTTGTTGTTGTTTCACTGAAGTGTTGAAATTAATACACTGTTACAAACTGATAACTGAGATTCACTGAGATCAGTGTCACCTTGGTTGGTTGAGGATACTGGTTATGAGTGCCGACAAAACAAAAACAATGGCCCTACATTTAATGAGGTCCTGTTAATTAGGCTCAAAGTCTGATAAGTGTCATGGCCATGAAAAAGCAATATAAGGCGAGATGAAAAGGCAACAGATGACATTATGATGGGTCAAATACTGACCTAGTCCTCAAAATGTGGAACAGTCATTTGAAATTCAGGCTAAGGATATACATTCACTTTCCCCCGCCCCCAAGAAGGCCTTGTTATGGTGGGAGCTCCCTGATTGTGCTCTATCCGTTGTTTTTGTTTACAAATTGTGACCAAATAATAATAAGTTCAAAAGCATGTTCCTATTGGTCAGTGAGTCGGATCGTTGCACATGCTCAAGTCCAACGTAAAGGCCAGTTTACATGCCTTGATGTGTTGACACTGTTTTAGGAACCAATGTCTATACAAAACATATGCTAAACACAAAAACTGGGCCATTTTTTACGTGGCGTATTTCTTTTACAGAAATACTCTGGCTCAATAAACAATATTGTTGACGTAAACCTGTGGTTACAGTGACTGTTGGGCTGAGATAGATCATTCCAACATGTTTAATAATTATTGTGTTGCATTACAGTTGAGCTCTTATGATAAGGCTTTGCCAATGTTATCTAGGTATTGTGGGTCTAGCAATGTTTTGATCAGATCATTTCTGATTCTCAGCATGAGTCACTGATTCTCGTTATTGTGTATTTCTTTTGTCTTGACAGTTGGAAAGTGTCCATTCATGTTCAATTCAGCTGCTGAAGATGCTCAGGTGAAAGTTGATCAGTTTGCTGGCTGTGCATGTGATTACAGGGAAGGTGCACCTAAGAAGGAGTCTTCTGTGCCAGCAGGTTTGTAAAATATCAACGTCTTTATCTTTTTCATAGCCGTTGCCACCGACGAAACTAAACCCATGGTTAGGTCTGTCTGTGAGTTAATTAATGCTGAAATCTTTGTTCTGGGTCCCCACCTGTGTACTAGGGTTTGAGCATGAACATGAGGAGATAGAGGATATTACATGGCTGTGCCGAGATAGGAAATGTCTCTTTGAGTGTTGAAAAATATTTCACGAGTGAGCACAGTGAACGAGTGAAATATATTTTTCAATACAAGATGAGATTTACGTATCTCCAAGTGGCCGTGTAATATGTTCTATTTATTATATAAACACCAATGAAATACCAAACCATTTCACTTGAATAGTTTTTTGGTGTGAAAGGCACGATTTATTTCGTAGCTATAGCAACGGTGATATTTTCACATGTGAAGATAACATGTTATTTTCACATGTGAAGAGATCAAGTTTTTTTGCAAAAGCTCACCTGGTATTTCATTGTGGTTTATATAATAAAATCATTTATTGTATGGTTACTGATATGATTCTAATTCAGTTTTAGAAGGATTTAATTTCATGTTTCAGCTTATGGTTAAGTTACCAGTAAGGACATAATTGGACAAATTAATATTAGTATTTTTGGTTTGATTCATGACTTGAAATCTTTCCATGGAGACTAAATTTTGTTTTGACTGATTAACTTTGCTTCTGAGCATTTCTTGTTTCCATCACAGTCATGGCTGTACATAGAGGCATGACTAAAATCCTTGATGGCAGATCCAAGAGCTATTAAGAGTTATCACATAATTCTAGAGACTACTTATGTTGAATATTCTATGATTTGTACTGCAGCTGGAGTTTTTAAGTCATGGTTAAGTTAAAATACAGTTTTTAAATAACAAAATAGAGCTAAAACAATAACCCCCAAACTGGCCTTGAAGAAGGTTAACACATACTTGATTTGTGTTTCCAACAGATGGCAAGTGCCCATTTTCAAGTGGCAAGTTGGTGGTTGATGCTTTGCAAAAAATTCACCCCACCCCTGCTATGAAAGTAGGAAGTGTGCTTCCTCAGACCATTGGTGTGCGTCAGATGGTGACTATGCCTTTAAGTGCCCAAGGTAAGGTATTAAAATGGAAGTTTATAATTCAGGATCGCTAGATGCCTAAGTGATCTCTGAGTACCATAACTGGCCACTATGAGATTTATTTATAGGGTTCTAAGACTTCTAAACAGATTCTAAATTGCTGTTTTGTCTTTATTGATGTGCTAAGTTTACCTTTTAAAAACGTAATGTATACTCAATACTGACATAGCAATTTTTTTTGTCTTACAGGTTTAGCTCCCAGCCTTGAAGCCTTCAATTCTCATTTTGATTATGATCAGTTCTTCATGGGGGAAATTGAGAAAAAGAAGAAGGATGACACGTATCGCATCTTTAAGAAGGTGAATCGTCTGGCAGAAACATTTCCTCATGCCAAAGATTTCAGTTACAACACTCAAGGGAAGAACATCACAGTATGGTGCAGCAATGACTATCTTGGAATGAGCCGACACCCAGAGGTCTTGAAAACTGCTAGGTAAGATTGGCATGTTATGTACTTAGTCTTAACAGTTGGTGGCAGGACAGACCCCGAGAGGGAGCGAGGGAGGGTGCTGCTCTGGAATTTTTTTTGTTACCTTGTGGGCCACCATTTGTATAAAAATGAGTGGCCTTGTCTATATCTACTAATAGTAGTACTTAAAACAGCTCCTGTCAGTGTAGATGAAGCATTTTAAGCTCTAGTATCAACTTCTATGCTCTCTGTTGTTCTACAGTGTAGTCTTATTTTTGAGAGATTGATTCCTTTCTCTTATAACTTCTGCGACACGTGTATTGATATTGTTTGAGCAGTTACAGTATAGCAATATTTCGCTCTATGCCACCTATTGATATTTTTGTGAAAACCAGAGGCTTTTTAGCTCTTGAAGAAATGGGCGACTTTTGATGCAGTGGTTGGTACCTTTGAATAACAAAAACAATCTTTAAAAAATGGAAGGATCACTCTGTGAAATGAAGAAATAATTTGCTGCGTCACCAGTTTCGCTTAAAGTGTAGAATTTCATAGTTAAGCTATAACAATAATTTACCAACTGCCACTAGTTTAGGAATGGTAGTATCTACAGCAGTATTTGTATTTGGTACCAAGTATTTTCCTGTATTTTGGTTCCAGTGTAATTAAAAAAAAACATAACTTTGATCCTCCTGCAGAGAAACTATTGAGAAGCATGGAGTGGGTGCTGGTGGCACCAGGAACATCTCTGGAACAAGCAGCTTTCATGAATCCCTCGAGGCCAGGCTTGCTGAGATACACAAGAAGGAAGCAGCCCTGCTGTTTACATCTTGTTATGTTGCCAATGACACTACTCTATTTACACTGGCACGGCAGTTACCTGGTATGCAAAAACGCACCTAGTAGGAATAATGCGACTTTGGAATTGGAGTACAAAACAACAGGATTTTAGAGTGCCTAATTTTATCCTGCTATTAAAAGTTATGTCAGCATAGTAGTAGTACATGGGAGTTTTGTTGAATGGTGTCAGACCATTATTTGGTCGCACTTAGGATTTATGAACAGACCTTAAAGTTAGAACCACCTTGTACAGCATAATGAACAGTACTGCGGGAAAGTACTGCTCAGTAGCTTTCATTTGAATGGTCACACTTCAGGATTTCATCCACAGACCCAAAATTTAGGACCACCTTGTACGGCATTAGCTTTCATTTGAATGGCCACACTTAAGCATTCCATCCACAGACTCAAAAGTTAGAACCAGCTTGTACAGCATACATCTAGGTACTGATTATTATGCTGTACAAGGTGGTTCTAACTTATGAGTATGATGACACAATTTTTCAGCTTTAAAAACATCCTTTCGCGCCTTTTTTTCCCAAATTACGCGCAAAAAAAAAATAATAATAAAACATCTTATTATCTATACAAACCACCGCAACCTATCTTATTTATTTTATTTATTTGGTTCATTGTGTTCTTTATTTATTCACTTCTTTGTTTATATATTTTCTCAGGCTGTTTGATATTCTCCGATGCTGGTAACCACGCATCCATGATCCAGGGAATTAGGAACAGTGGCGCTAAGAAGTTCATCTTTAGGCACAATGATGTAGAACACCTTGAACAGCTGCTTGAACAAGCAGACCCTGACGCGCCTAAGATTGTTGCTTTCGAGACTGTTCATTCCATGACGGGTGATGTGTGTCCATTGGAAGAGCTGTGTGATGTAGCGCACAAGTATGGGGCGTTGACATTTGTTGACGAGGTTAGTTCCTCCATTTTGAGAAAAATACTGACGAACCCGGTTGAAACAAATGCTTTGTTCATGTAAAAGCTTGCAAGACGAAGAACAGCAAGCGAGTATTTCTTAGATTAATTAAAGAGGATATGTAATGAGGGTAATGCTGATTTAGGGCAATTCTGTGCTGACGTCATTCCTGTGGAGTTATGAAGAAGACAGGAAACAAATTTCATCGGGGAGCACTAACTCCAATCATTTCTTTTGGTGATTTGTGCTGACATAGCACTTAGATGTAGCATTAAACTTGAAAAAGTTGGCCCATCTTTTTGAAGTTTCAATCTATGTCCATCCTTGCCATCCGTTTTCACTGACGACATGAAACATAAATATAGCCTTAAATATCAAAACTGGACCATTGTTTTTGGAATTCAATTGATGCGAAGACGAGTTTTACCTGTAAAAAGATAGCAAATAGCGTGAAGCGAAAGCTTGCCCAAACTATTAGAGTGAAACTGTTGAAAAAGTATCTACGCTTTACTGAGACACGAAAACCCACAAAACCCTGCACAAGATATATACAGTACATGCAGGTCTATACTTCAGACTGATATTAAACCTTCTCTGGTTGACTTAAGCTCAAACTTTTCTACCATGTTTCATCTGCAGGTCCATGCAGTGGGTTTGTATGGCCACAGCGGCGCGGGTATCGGAGATCGTGACAATATCATGCACAAGATGGATATTATCAGCGGAACCCTCGGCAAAGCCTATGGAGCCATCGGTGGTTACATCGCCGGAACTGAGGCGCTGGTTGACAACATCCGTAGCTATGGTTCCGGGTTCATCTTTACCACTTCCTTGCCCCCTGTCACCGTGAATTCCGCCATAACATCCGTTGGTATCCTGGCCAGTGGCGAAGGACGAGAGCTGCGCAGACAACATCAGAGTGTGGTGCACACACTGCGCAATAAGCTTGTCAGTGCTGGGTTGCCTGTGGTGTATGCTCCGAGCCACATTATACCTGTGCATGTAAGTGTTACGTCTGTAGTAAAGCAGTTATAGAAGTAGAAAAGACGAAATCCGTCTCGGGAGTTTGAGATTTCGAGAACGGACATTAGGAGCCAGTGTACGCCGACATGTACTTAAAATCATTCGTTGTTTTTTTTTTTAGGTTGGCGATCCTGCCAAGTGTACGGCCATCTCCAATGAGATGCTTTCCAAATATGGCATGTACGTTCAGTCCATTAACTACCCCACAGTGGAACGAGGCAAGGAGAGACTTCGCATTGCACCAACACCCCAACACAATGAAGAGATGATGGATAAGTTCACTGATGCTTTGGTCAAGGTGTGGCGAAACAATGGCATGGAGTTCCTTACTCCTGTTTGCACCACCGAGTGCGATTGCCAGGATCGCTGCATCACTTACAAGGAGCTGGATTGTGACAAGTACGCTTCACAAGTGGGAGCCGCCTAGAGCTGTTGGCACTCCGAATCTGGCCGCTTAATGAGTTGTGTAGCACATATTCTACACAATGGAATAAGCCTGAATTGTCAATTGTAGTAATTTAAGTTACAATGTAATTTCAATCTGGAATTGAAACTGGAATAATCAGTCACGCTTACGCATCTATAAAAGTGTCGTCTCTTTGTTGTGATATTTTTCACGCTTATCATGCACTCTAACACGCGGAATCTTTGAAGAAACAGTTCTTTTGTCCCTAACGTTTCTGTTAAACCCCTTGTTATTAAATTAATCCAGAAAGACAGTATTATGCATCACAACGAAAATTGAACATGGCCTCTCTTGTTGCAGATGTCACTTCTTGAAACTGCCCCGCTCTGAATAGCCCCCCCCCCCCACCCCTACACACACACCATACCCACCACCCCCACCGCTTAAAAAAAACGCCGCCTCGAAAATTAATGGACACCTCACCATTTTTTCAGGGATCGTAGTGTAACTTGTTTCCCCCCCTACCCCCCAAAATTTTACACATCCATTGTTTTCAATTTCTCCTGGGTATTACAGTCGTCCCACGACAAATCGAAGACAATGGTTATGCACAATTTTGGAGGATAAGCAAGGTGCATTGTGGTCTATGTGAAAGTGAGTAGGTGGACGGTCTTAGATGTTTCAAGAGCCGGAGTGTTACTTACGAACAGGATAAAAAAATATTAAAAACATTGATGGCATAAACTATAAATATATTTCAAGTATATAAATTTCTAAAAGGTGCTATTCATTACACGATAACATTTTGCAGAAATACTAAGCACTTTGTTTACCTAAACTACTTTTCTAAAAAGATATCTACAAATCGCACATACTTACAGTAAAAAACTAAACAGAGTGCGGCTTGATTATCCGGAATAAGTTTTCTCTTTTTTTTCGTTTAAAGCCGAATACGATAAAAAATGATCAATTTGGCTGTTACAATCGGCCAATTGAGGTCCCACACTGAAGACTGGGTTGGTGTTGTGTCGAAATGCCTTGTGGGACTATTTTGAGCGACAAATTTTGACCCAGGTTGCAGTGTACACCTCGATACAGACACCTAACTGGGCGGGTCCATTTTGAAGGGGTCTATATTAGAGGCACTGATTGTATGAAGTTTGAATCTTTGGCGCAAAGATAAGTGTCCGTATAAATGAGGCACTGCCGCCCACTTGATAGAGGTGTTCGTTAGGCGCGGTTCGCCTTTATAAGCACCACTTCAGGAGCACACATATAACTACGGTTCTTCTAGGAGGGTTTTTACAGTGTGTGATATTTTTAACTCTTTCTAAAAGCGTGTTGCCTAAGAAAATAAACGAGTTGCAGGATAGCGAGTCTGCTGCCTGTGGGTGAATTAAGCGCAACTGAGGCGTAGATAACAATTTATTCACTAACTGGAAAGCCTTATCTGAAGCCAGATCCAGAAAGCATTCTGAGAAATGGGCCTCCAAACGTTAACGATCCAGGTTTCAATCAAGGTTGCTTTGTTCCGAAGTGGGCGATCAAAGTTTCAATCGCCTAATCCACATCAAGATTGCCTAAAGTAAAAGCTACCTAAGTAACGATTGTTCTCCAAATTAAAAGTACTGAGGAATCATCCCTTAGCTTTCATAACAGGCAGCGCTCCGCCGTGAATGTCCGACCAAAGCTTACAAATCAGACTCAAAGCCTTTTCTTTTTCCTCGTACGTCTGGGCAACAATCCGCCAGCAGATTTCACGGTCAGCGAAGCCCAACGCATGCGTAATAACGCATAAATCTCCCATACTTGCGGAATCAAATCCCTCAGGTGCGTCCTCGTCTTGATGCTGAGTCGGCAAGAAAACCATTTTAAAGTCGCACGAGTTAAAGTCGCTGAATTCGACGCGTGACAGCGACTTGATGTCACGCAAGTCCTGCACGTTATATTGCGGGCTCTCTGGAAGCCCGGTTGCGAAGAGCGGCAATGGATAGTTTACGTGATCCTCGATGCAAAGGCAAAGAGATTTGTCCATGATGACGAGCGTCCGTGGTTCTTCGACGTTCGATTTCGTTTCATGAAAAACTAAAAGATAGACAAGGATGACAACGTCTTTCAGATGGCTACAGTCAACCGAGGTGCGACTAAAGTCCGAAATAGCGTCTTTGAGGATCTCCAAAGTGTCATCGTTTGGGTAAATAAACTTGACCCCATTTTTAACATGATGGTAGTCTGTCTTCGTGAACGAGCAGTGATCGGCTTCGGACGTCGGCTGAGAGTCGTAAATGCTCGTGGTAAGGGTTTCAGCTCTCGGGGGTGAAGGATCGCTTGTGTGCTTTGACGACAAAATGGCGTTTAAGCGTTCCAGGAATGTGCTCGTGAGATGAAAATCACGAGTAATAAAAGTGAAAGTGTCTTCTTTCAATTCAGTCTCCAGTCTCAATGTTTGATCAAACAATCCAACACAGACTTGTCTTAACTTGCTGATGGGGATCCAATTAAAGCAAATCGTGGGCTTAACGTCTTCTAAACCCTCGCAATTCCTGAGTTTACCCTCCTTTTTCATATTAATCAAATCCTTGTGCTTTTTCTCCGCTAAAATATACACGTACAAGTTGCTTAACAAAACGCAGACTTTGAATTCCTGCGCAGGAAAAAGGAAAGGCGTACAGCCGGTCCATAGGACGTGTAAAAGGGTTTCTTCTTCACTCTCGCTTTTTTGTGAAATGCATCGGCGGAAAAACTTGTCCAGCAACTTTCTATCCAAAGTTACTAAGCTCTCCAAGCCATTCAATACATTTGCCTGCAAAATCGGCAAATTATCAGAGCCCATCCTCCGATGGGTCTTTTTAGCTTCCACCGGGGTACCCACGGGGGTGTGTTGCCCGTTTATTGAAGAAATCGACGAGAGAAAGCCATTTGGATCCTTCCCTTCCTGAATGCCAGGGAAGGACTTTGGTTTGGAATAAGTGATTTTAAGATCTGCTTGGAAATCCCCTTTCCAAACTTGTGAGAGAGAACGCTGAAGTTGCGTGCGCTCATCGCAGGCTTTGAAAACTAAGTGCCAGCAATTTTGCTCGCCAGCGGCCGTCGCCTCAACTTCTTCATGCTCGAAAATTAAAGACAGGCCGTATACACCAAGCATTTCACTGGCATTTCTCCCAAGCTCAAAGACATCTAGACCAATTATTTTATTGATCCGCTGGGACTTGGTAACCACCCACTGAGGTGTGGACGGTGGAGCTCGCACAAACGAAGGCAGAGGCCAATGAACGTGATCTTCGTCGCAAAGAAAAACCTCCGAATTTGTCACGATCAAACTTCGGAGCATCTTCGTGAGATCTCCGTTTTCCTGGGCGTTAAACAAGGCGCACTCAGGGATCTCTCGGACGATGGAGTACATCAGCAAATTCTGGTCGTCAACTGGTGTGTCTGTACCGGACTTTGCCAGTTCGGATTTTAATTTGTTGATTTTCTCTTCATCGGGAAAGCTCAACCTGGGAAGACTCCCGGACGAAAACTGTCTTCTGATTCGTGGTACCTGAGACTGCTCCTTGTCCAGGGGCTCTCCAAGGACGTCGCTTAAGGTTACTAAAAATTTGTCCGTTTTTTCCGCATCACGAGTGAGGAC